CACCCTTAAGTTCTGGGTTGAAGATGCTATCATTTTAGTTTAACAAGGGCTTTTGCCTTTTGTATTCCTGGGTTCATTTCATTTAAAATAATTGGTATCTATGTTGTCAAAATCAACCAATCTAAGGCTTAGAAGAAGAACAAGAAGCATACAGATTGGGGCAGAAGATAATTTTTCAAGAAGTCTGGCATAGAGCAGAATTGGAATAGCTGTGGAAGGTGTGTAGAAGGACCAAGGTCACCCCCTTCTTCAAGAGCAAGTGGATCAAGTGTTTGCCAGAAACCACGAGTATTTACCACATGCATGAAGGTAACTAATCCTGATCCATACATGTAGCCAATCCATCCTACTATTTTTTTTTTTTTTACCTCTTCTGTTATGGTGTATTCCTTCAAGTGCTAAAGAGAGAGGGACACATGTTGCAAAGAAACTTCTTAAATCATGCAGTCATCAGTCAATCTCATAAATGCCTGGATGAGAACACAGGTACTATCTTACATTGTTAGCTCTAGCGTATGAGTGAGTAAAGCAACAAGTGATTTATGTGTCCTGTCAACAAGAGCAAGGTAATAAAACCCATAATCTTCTGGTATCTCCTATAATTCTGGGCATATATTTTATGTATGCCATTGGTGATATCCCCTCTTTAGACTCGTCTTTTCTTCCTTTGATAGCATTGGTTACCATGGAGACAAAGACGACACTGCTCTGAGCAACGCTAAGGGAAATTTATCAGTAAAGGAGAACATCATTTGTTAGGTGGTGACTGTTCCTGTCTGCACAATTAACTCTCAGAAGGTAGCTTGTTTATGAAAGATACTTAAATAAGCCACATCAGAGAGGTCACTGTACACGTGCTCAAGCATTCTGATGGCTGGGCAATTAAAAGGAAATGACTTGGGCTATTATTCAATATTGACTCTTCTAAAAATTCGATTATCTAGTGTGATGTATTTCTGGACCCCAATTACTCAGCAGCCTAAATGTTTGAATTGCTTCACACTGGAGCTTTCGATAGCTGTGAAATATTTTCAGCCTCCAGAGTTTGAAATGAGTTACAAATTCTTTCTTGTGTTGCTATGGTGATTTATATTGTGACCATTTTAATAACCACATCAGAGACAAGTATTACATAGCCATGTAATATCTCTACATAATTTAGCATCAACCATTTATAACAACTCGTGGCACAATTTGAAATATTACATGAGGAAATTAAAAGTAAATAGAAATAAATCACCCCAAGGATGAAATATGAAAATATTTGAGCTATGAGCATGAACAAACACTACATGAAAAAGCAAACAAATAAAACGAGTAAACAAACTGATGAAAATAAATGCTAGTTCTAATACATGGTGCAAATTCATGGTTAGTTGCAAAAAGTTACACCTAAATTCAGAACACTTTTCATTTCAAATAGAAGAGGGGCAACATATGTTTACAAATTATTGGGGTAGGGCACATGAGATCAGGGGCTTTTTTACAGACTTCAATGATGAGCTTATAGTCATTAACTACTGGACCATAGATTATTAGTCTTTGGCAAGACTACCTTAAGAATTAAGTTGTATCTAACATATTTCCAATGGGTTAAACCAGAAATGAGGTTGTTTCTTATTTTCTTTACCCAACTTATTAATATATTTTCTCTGTGCTTGATGGAAAGACTGTATAGTTGTTGATTAGGGATATTATTTCTCTTTCTCACTCTCTTTGACTTTCTGTAGTCAAGTAAACACATAGATCAGATGATTTTCTGGCGGAGTGCCTGAAAGACACTGAATAATGAGGATGTTATGTATTCAATGATTTTTATTTTTTAAATTTTGTTAGCTAAGTATTTAAGTGTCCTCTCTGTGGCAGGCTATGTATTATGGACTAAATAATAATGAAGTAAAGACATCATTTCAGTTCCTGCACTCATGGAATATGTTAATGTGGAGAAAAGAGAAGACAGATGATATCCATGTATCTGTATTACATATCCTTCTTATAAAGATTATGCTGCTATGAAGAAAAACAAAGAGGATAGAAATGTTTGAAAATTGCCATTCTGGAAGTGACAGCTGTAAGGAATCAGAAAGAGTCTCTTTTGAGGACATATTGCTGGCAGGTAGGTGAAGATGAACATAAATCACAGCTTTTCTGGGGCAGACATTCCTGCTGTGAATGCTATCCACAAATAAAACCATTTTAAAAACAATTTTTTAATGTGGATCAAATGCATATGCAAAAAATGTAATACAACTTTAGGATTGATAAACAAACATTATCTCAAGGAGCTTTACGTTCACATTCACATAATCCATAAAAGTAAAGTCCAAATGTTTTTAGAGCAAAGACTTGGCTGGCGTTTCAGGAGAGACTTTGGAAGTTATCAAATGGTCCTATTGCTTATCCTGTGATTTCTTCTATTCACACAAGCAAAGTATGACAACAGAACTGCAGTAAAACTCCTTTCTTCTTCCTCCGTGTTTCACTTAACAGAGATAAAGCCTTTCAGTAGAGCAATCTGCAAAGTATCTTCTTTCCCAATAACCTGATGAAAGACACTTGAAAAAATGAAACAGAATGAAACCAATCCTTCAACCTGGAGCAAAGCCTAGCAGATTCCAGCAGGATTCACAGATTATGGCCAAGAATAGTAAGTCCTTGAATTATAAGTAACTGAGAATTTGGTAATGTTATGTAGCACTATCACAATAGCTGCCTAATTAAAAAAAAATCACTAGTGCAAGAGAGTTTACTGCTGCATATAGTCACAAAATTAGGGCCATATTGAGTTTACACTTGATAAGAAATTTTTGAAGATTACAAAATCTAACAGGAGTGTTTATTATAGTGCTTGCACAGCAAGTATTTTGTAACTGTTATTTTGCTATTATTGGCATGATTTATATTACCAACAAGTATTGTTGGACTTCTAAATGATTTACAATAGTCTAATACTTTAAACAAGACTGCTAAAAAGAAGTAAGATGGAACTGGGAAAAAAAAAAAAAAGACTGCTAAAAACATTCCTGCATGTCTGATATGTGTGTATGCAGGTTTCTAAACCAACCCCTGTTTGCTGCAGTTTGATATGCCAAATAAATTTTTCTCATCTTCAAGTATAGAGGAAAAGCTGATATTTGCTATGAAGTCACAACAGCAGACATGATGATAATAAACTCCGTCTTTTAGATTGGTCTTCTGGGAGCACCACATCATCATTCATTTTTAGCTGGAAATGGACTCACAAATCTCCTCACCTCCAGTGTCAGCCAGGACTCTTCCTGAGAAGCTTTAGATGATGATTCTTGTCAATAATATTAAAAATCAACATGGTAGGTCAAAAAACCACGTTTTTCCTCCCAAAAGAAGGATCTTGGCAATTTTTTGTTGTTATCAGAGGCAAATTTTCCGAACATAAAACTTGTCTGAAGCTTTATAAATCAGCCTCTTTCACAATTATCTACACTGCATACTGTCAAGATCTGGGCATCTGAATCCACATAGGGCCATGGATTTTCATATTCTATTCAAAGAAAAACTTCGGACAAATTACACTTAACAGAGTTTAATTGGGCAAAGAACAATACATCAGGAGGAGAGGTTCAGAGGGCTCAGCCCAGCAGTGTAAGCAGCAAACTTTTACAGGACCAAGAAAAAAATCAAAGTAGGAAAATCATTCCATTCAGCTAGTGTCTGCCTTATCTCGGCATGGCCTGATTAGCTAGATGCCTGTAACTGGCTGAGCCCCGGCTATTTGTTACAAGAAATATTAATATAATCCATCCCAAACTAGGATTCGGCTTAAGTTAGGTTGTAGTTTACAATGTAGGATCTCAAAGGACAGAGACAGCCTCAGATAGGTTTGGTCCAGTATAAAGCAAGAAAATGGCCATGTGGATAAAGAAGGCACAACCGAGGCAGCCAGGCTTTTCCTTCGACAGGTGGGAGATGATGTTCTACCTAGCGCACAACTGGAAGATGGCTTAAATAGGAACACGGAGGTGGTTTTCCCACACTAACAGATGGAAAGCCAGGTATTCTGGCACACTCGCAGTATTGTCTCAGCAAGGTCATCGTGTGAAATTTAGACAACTGAAGTTGGTACATCAGCTGGCGACTTCTCCCCTGGGGTGGCGTGTTGTTCCTGTTGGCTTGTCGAAACATCAGGTGCAATCTGGGTAACTCCAACCCTTCCTAAAAGTGACCCTCCTCCTACAGAACCTGGGCCGCGTGCACGTCTCCACGCTGGGTTTGAAGGATTCAGCGACTTCCCAGGGGCACCTCAGAAGGAGGGCACCTTCGCTGCTGGAGCCCGCGTTCTGTGCAGATGTGGGGCATGGGGCGGGGGCTGCTGCTGGACAGGACGCGGGGTGCCCCCAGTTCCCCGCAGCCCACGTCCTGCGGGGAGTCCTGGAGAGAGTGGCCTCCGCGGTGGCCGAGGTGTGGGTGCACGTGGCCCTGGCCTCCGTCGCGGTCACCTCCCCGCGCCACCGAGCGAGAGGTGGAGCGTCAACGGTGGAGCGTCAACGAGGGGCGCGCCCTCCTTCGCTCCGGGGCGGGCTCCAGCTGGGGGGTCTCCAGCCTCCGCGCCGGGCGTCCACACCGCCTTCCCGCAGGTCTACACGCTGCCCCGCGCGCGTTCAGGTCCTCTGGGCATCAGCCCACTCCCCTCGACAAGAGGGGGCCGCAGGGTCCCTGGGTCGGGGGGCCCCTGGGTGCCGGGACAGCCCAGCCGCTCCCTCCTCTTCATCCTCGCCCGGCGGTCCTGCCGTAGGGCGCACAAACACCGCATCCGCCGCGAGGATCAGCGTAGGCTGCGTGCGCAAGCGCAGACGGCGGCGCGGCGTAAGGCAGCGTGCGCAAGCGCAGACGGCGGCGCGGCCGGGCGAGGCGGCCAGGACGGGGTCTCACGCCGAAGACGTGAAGGGCGGCGCGGATTGGCTTCATTGCGCAGGCGCAGTTTGGTTCCCTCGCGCAGGCGCAGACGGCGACAGTCACGGCGACAGTGGAGGCGCCGCGGAACCGCTGTGGGGAGCGCCGTGCATGACAGCGGCCTGTGCGCAGGCGCAGATGGCCGCTCTGAGAGGCTGGGCTGGACGGCGAGGGCGACCTTGGCTGAGGGCCTGGGTGGCGGCCCTTGGCCGTAGCAGTGTCTGCGCGGTCCTGGACGGGTCGCAGTAGGTCAGTCTAATGATGTCCAGAATTTCTTTCAACGTTTTTTTTTTGTTTGGTTGCTTGTTTTACGGATGTGGAAAAGCATTTCGTTTCCTCACGCTGCAGGCAGCAAAGACTTCTTTCACAGAGTGCACAGCCGCCCTCAGAAGGAAAACCGCGGCAACGGGGCTGAAAGTTGACTCCACGGGAGACAGGGACTAGGGAAGTGGCCCTGTAACAGCTGTCTGTGTCACCCCGTCCACTGACGTTTCATTTCCAAGTAATTCTTGCCCAGGGCTGGGTTTAGAGCTACCTGTTTGCTCACCAACTCACACTCAAACAAAAATAATAATAATAATAACAACAACAACCCTGTGGGTCAATCAGAGCTGGTGGTTCCCACAAATTGTCTTTCCATTTCCAATCAGTGGAGATTTCCAAAGAGGGAAAGCTGTGATCTGGGGGTATTCCCCAAAATAACAAGTACCTTCCAGTTGTTTTTATTGCGTGTAACTTGTATGAAGGTGCCTAAAGTAAAGCTTCATCCAGTTTTAGTTACTTTGTTTAAAAAGGGAGGGGGGGTGGCGTTCCAGTTTAAGCCACTTTAAATTCAGTCTTTCACAAAAAAAAAAAAAGTTGATGGAGCACCTGCTATGTTTCAGGCACCATTCAAGGCAGTGGGGTTATAGCCCTGAGTAAGAGAGGCAAAGTTCTCGCCTACAGACAGACTGGCAGGAAGGCAGAAGAATAAATCAGTACATAATGTAATTGCAGGTATGGACTTTGTGTTATAAAACCAAAAGTAAATCAAGGTGAGAGGTTAGAGTGTCTGTTGAGGGCGTGCTTCTTTGCATACAGATGTGAGGTTTCTGTTTTGCACATGCAACATGGCCCTGGAATGTCAGCTGCAGTGCTGCACTCTGCCTTGTCCTCACCCTGGGACCATCTCAAATGTTACAGAGTAAAAGAGAGGAATTGGCAGGACTATCATTGTCTCTCTAAGCTTCAGTCCAGAAGTGATACTGTTCACCTCTGGACACATCTCATTGGGGAAAAAAAAAGCAAGTCATAGGATCAAACTGACTTTCAAATGGGAGAGGCTGTACAGTATCACCATGTTCCCTGAATAAGAGAAAACCAAAAGCATTGCTCATGAAGTGGGTGGCATTGTGGGATTATCCCATTTCATCACAACCTGGTATTTTACTAATAAGCAGCAAATAGCTGCTACAAATTATATAGTCAATCTGATGTCCTGCTCTAAAATCAAACAGCAAGAAAAATAAATTAGAAATGTGTTAAGTCTATGACATTAAAATCATGTGTATCCTGTCCTCCCATTTTTTGTTGCCTTCAATTAGTTTAAATGACTTTTAAAATGCAGTTGACACATGCTTGGTTGATATGAAGCACTGACTCTATGTATTGGAAAATACCTGTACACTAGTATAGGATAATCTTGTTTAGTATTAAATGCTTAGTAATTATACAAATACATGTTAATTAAATACAGATAA